TACTCTTGTCCTGCCACTCTTTCAAGACACGAAACGGAGGCAGAAAAGGCACATTTAGAAACTGAGAGCCCCTTGATGTGTCTGGCAAGCTTAGCTCTGAAATCCTCAAAAGAGATCTGGCTTCTTTTTCCCTCTAAATTTAGATGAAGAATTTTTTACATTCTTGGAATAGACAGGGAGAAAGGTGGGAACCGATAACACGCTGTTGAAAGAAAATTGTGGCATTTTCAGATGCAGAACAGTTTTCTGTGTGGCTTCTCTCTGAACGTGCGCAAGCGTTAGCTGGTCCACCTGCGAGCAGCCTGGTTTGTGTGTGCGAGTTAGATTGAGAACTTTAAACTCATGTCACCTTTTCTTTTTAGGCATTCAAGCCAATGTTTTAGGGGCCTCTCTGTCTTCTACAGGACCAGGTAGAACTGCTTTGCATAGGGCTTTCGTAAGCAGGCCTTTGGGGAGTCTTGGGCTTGGGTTTGGGGTTATTTTTTTCCTGCCTAGCACGTGCAGAAATGTTGTTGCTCATTCACTGAAAGAGAGAAAACGAGTTTGCCAGTTCCGGCTCTTTGCAGCTTCTTGGCATCTCTGAAAAGATACCAGGCAATGGGACTTGCAGATAATTATTGCCACAAATAATTTAATCTGGATTTAATAAGGATGTTACCCATTCTGGCTCACCATTTTTCAACACCAGTAGTGGTTGTCTGTAATGGCTCACCCCAGCAGTCCAGAGTGCTTGTTATTAAGGATTTCGGCATTTTGGAGTAGTGTTTCCCACTGAGAAATTTTAATTCCTGTTGCCAAAGAATTCACATAGCCATGTGTGATTAGCAAATCCAAGGGATTAAAATAGCTGCCTAGCAGGGTTAATACACGTCAAGACTATTGTTACCTCAGGTACCACAGCACAAAAAAAAAAGAGGCTCCCATGGCTGCAGCTCATTGTTAATAAATCTGACTGTGCTAACATCGCTGAACACGGGAAGCAAAGCTTTTAACATCATTAACCGCCAGCTTTTGGCTTCATCACTCAAGGATGGTTCCTCTGTTTGCATCTTCATCTGCAGAAGTGGATGCACCATGGAGATTTTGTGAGATCTAAATATGCACTCTGTAATTAGGTCCCCAATTTGAATAGCTGTGGGTTTGAACTGAAAACAATAATTGTAAAAGCCTGAACCTCAACTGACTGAGCAGATGGAACAGATGTATTTGTTCAAAAGTTTGCATCAAAGATTGGGCACTTCCCCATAAATCTGTGCTCTCCTGGTCTGGATTATCAGCTCGGCTTAAAATAGTCATTTCCCAAAGATGTAGGCAAAGGTTTTAGTTCTCTTTGACCCTTCCTTGCAAATGAGTGTAACTGGCCTAGCTACCCATGTCGTGAAGGGCTGGGGTCAGCTGTGTGCTTGAACTTGCTTGTAAAAGCCACTCTGACATGTGCTGTGAATAAATATAACCTGTTGGAATATGTTGCAAGGAATATCCTTTTAAGAATCTAACAAAGTTTAAAAGATGGGTAGTACTTAGCATAAGCATGTCATTTCAGTGAAGAAAACCCTCTTTGCAAAATGATTTAGTTGTTAGGATTTTTTTTTTTCTTTGAGTTGAAGGAAATAAAGAAAACTAAAGCTCCTTCTTACAGTAATCTGTTTTTCTCCCTTTTATTTTGTTTTATTTTCTTACCTATGGAAGTCGTGTAAGCAAAGTTCTTTGCTGGTGCTAGGGATTTGTGTGATATTTTTTCAAGGTGCGGATTGTAGAATGTCACACATTCATTTTTAAACAGTTTTGCTGTCTGATGTGAATGAAGCGCAGGGCAGTCAAATGTCAGTGGAGGCTTAGCAGCTCACTTTTCTTGCTTCTCTCCATTTTCTTGTTATTAGCTGTGTTTGCAAAAGAGGAGCCTCTTACCTTCTTGGCTTTGTTACTGTTTTCAGATCAGGCAGCGTTTCCGCTTTTTTTGCCAGTGTTTTTGACGTCTCCCCCACAGACCCATTTTCCCAGCACAGAGGCGTATTTGGACATTTCTAAAATAACTTCAGCCTTTAATGTGCCCCACCGATTGACTGCCGACCCTCAGTGCGGTCTGGCTGGCTGCGTGTCAGAAGGTGTCAGGGGCTGCTGCCCCCATCGCTCTGCTTGGCGCCAGGACAAACCTCCTGCCCTAGCTCACACGGTCAGAGTGCACCCTCCACCGGAGCACCCAAAGAAACTCCCTGGTGCAGATGTCCCCAGGGGATGGGTGCAGATGTCCCATTTACCTCCTAGTGAGCAGTTCCCAACCCTGGGCCCTCGTCCTGTGCCCTCTGTTCTGCCTGGAGGGACTGGCACCCCCTTCGGGGGCTTTCCCGCTGCCCCTCTCCCCGAGGATGAGGTGGCGCTCCTACTGCTGGGGTGATGCAGGTTTGTGCAAGACAAGTCACTAGGAGGGACAGCTAAGCTCCAAGACTGGTATCACTCTATTTATTGTGCTCCACAACAGTTATATTAAAAAGCTGTGGGGTTTCCTCTCAAGCAGTTTGTTACATGCCCTGCATGTCTGACCAAGTGGGATAATCGTGGCTTTCAAGTTATTTTGTCGTTGCTTTGTTTTTAATGAGGGAATACTGACCTTGATTTCTCCCCTCTCCAAAACACCCTAAAGGAAGCTAGCCAAGAAGCAGAAGGAGACTCAGACCAGCACGCAGAGGGAAATGGGTCCCGTGGCTACTTCCGACAAGACCTCTACCAAACTCAGTGCTGTTCACAATGAAGAAGCTTTTTCTTCCAGCTGCCAAGATGTTAATGGATTCAGTAAGTTTAACTTGCTTGCAATGGATATGTACCCCTTGGAGAGCTCTGGGTTCTTAAGAGGACCTATTCCTATGGGCACCGTGTTGAGGACCTAGGGATGACAGCGCTAGAGGTGATTGCAAAAGCTTTATAGAAAGCAGTTGTCTGAAATGTCTCTGACACTGCCACTATTTTAACTGTCAGATAGGTGGAGGGCATTCCTTCTGACTAGATCTACTGAGAATAATTTATAATGGCTGTTCTGATACCTACATCAGACAGTCAGAAAGACACGTGTTTGTTCTTCGGGAATATTTTCTCTTTTGTGAGTAGAAGAGTTGAATCAAATCATTTAGCTGACTTGTAGGATGAAATACCATTTTCTGTATGAAGTTGTTACAAACGAAAGCATGATCTCCCGGTTAGAGAACTGGAATGAAAAGACAACATTTTTTTCTTTTGTCTGTGTCCTCGGTTTATTCTTCACACAAGTTCAGTAAAAGTAATCTTAGTTAATACCTGTAAACCACTCAGACCTCTGTAGCTGGAAGAGTTTTGTGGATAAAGCAGCACAAAGTCATACTTTAGCCTTGCTAGATCCAGACTGAGTACATGGTGGATTGCATGGTGGATTTGTAAACCTTTTCGTATTAAATAAATTTTAACTTAGACACTATGGGCATGTCACTTCTTCTTTTGACACTTAGCCTGCTAGTTTGAACAGGGAACATCTCTGAATCACCAACGCGTGCTACAACTTGGCTCTCTTAAACGCCTTTAGTGAACTGTATTTCCCCCCTAATTGCTAACATGGAAGTGCTTATGGTACAAAATGTGTTTTAGCATTGAAACCTTTCTTTGTGATCTTGGATTGGGTGGGACAGGCTGAGTGAATTCTTCTTTTCACTCCATCTGTAGGTCATGTCACATCCCATCTGCGTGCGTGCCTGCTGCCACTCTGTGTAACGTACCTGTGCAGTGGATAAATAGGTGTTTGGGACCATCAAGGCTAGCAGTGAACACTTCTCGCTGATATTAAATTGACTTGAGTCAAGATCCAATTTTCTCAGGTGCTAAGTAGCTGTATCTCCTAAGGAGACAGCAAGAGTTGTCAGTGGTTCATATCTTTGAAAGACAGGATAGCAAAGGACAGGGTTGTAACAGATGTCCCAGAAACAGCAAAGGTAGCTTGTTTGAAATGTATGGAGAAAATGAAGGTTTTAACACTTTCTTCAGAATTTGGATTTTTGAAATTTTGAGGATTTTCTTTCCAAACAGAAAATAAGATATGAGCTTGAAATGTGACCTCCACTTTTTTTTTTCCCCTTGAAATTTTGAGAGACTAATTAAAACCGCTGAGTCATTTACTTGAAATGACAACTATAGAAAATGTGTTGGATCTAATTTTGTAAAAAATCTTCCTTTTAGTTTTTTTTTTTTTAAAATCAGTTAGTTCTTTGTTTGTCTGATATCACTGCAGATTTTATCACTACCTCCCTCTATAACATGGCCTGAGTCAAGTCATGGGCAAATTTTTCTCTTTTTTTTCCCCCCTCTTTATATCCATGAGAAACAATTACTGATAAGCCTTCATGATTTCTGCAAATTTTTTACTGCCAAGTCCAGGATGCTGAGATGTTGGAGGTAAGTTCTGTGCAGAAGTGTGCACATGCTGATACAGGAATTTTATGGGTAAAAGATTTCATTTAAAAAAATAATAATTGCCCTCATAGAGTTTAATACTTGAGGGTTTCTATATGGACCTACTCTAATTTTTGAGTAACGTAATAGGAATAACTTTAACCTTCCTGCTAATGAGTAGAATTTTAGAGGGGGTTGTCCATCTGAGCTTTTGAAATCAGCTGTCTTAGGCAGCAATCAAATTCCTTCCTAAATTGTTCTTTTGCCTCTCAGCAGTAAATAGCATTTGCAGATATCTCATGATGGGCTGTCATCCTCTCTGTCTTGACCCTTAGTCATAGGAGACCGAGTTGGCTGTAGCAGTGACATGGAAATACCGCTCTCCACCAAGAGAAACCAGGTGTTTTCAGTCCCAAGATTGGCTTACTAGCTCACAAAAGCAGTAAAACAGAATGAAACAACTTGTTAAATAGGCTACCGGACAACTACTAAACGCCTTGCAAACAAGTTTATCTCCAGGTGACAGCATCCTTGCAGGACACATGTCCTTCCTTCCAGTTTTTGCTTCCTGTCCCAATAGTTTTGACGACTTTTCTGACAGAACAAGTTCAGTTATAACCTATAGAAGCTTTTTTTCTTCCTATAGTCTCTCCAGCTTGGCCACTGGTCTTTGCTGCAGGACTTTTGCTGTTCTTGAGGGACCACATCTGTCCTCCTGGCGCCTGTCTCACTGCCTTTACAGGGGGTTCCCACGGGGCGGGGTGCTCCCAGGCATTGTGCATCGTGAAGGACAGCAAAAATGAGCCTTTTTACTCATCACCTCCTCCTTTTTTTGAGGAGACATTGACCTAAGTGATTTTACAGGCAGTTCTGAAAAGCGGTTATTACTGGTGGTACTTTTGCCACTAAGATTTACCATCTTCATGTCTCTGCTGTAGGTAAAAATGCAGATTTCTTCACTTACTCTAGCTCAGTGCTTTAGGGGAAAATGCACACAGTCCTGTTGGACTTTCACAGTTTTGGATTTGGCAGTGGTGTTTGTTTCTAAATGTAATTACGTTCCTGAAGATCTGTAGCCTCTGTGCTAGAACAGGGAGACCTTGTGTCGCACTGAAAAGTGGAAGAGAAATGAGCATTTCTCTTTCCTGGCCCTCGTTCCTCTTTCCATTCTACATCATCAGTTTATAGACACAGCTTCCATCTCTGACACCATATGGAATCAGAATAGGTGCTTACTGAAAAATAGATTAGTCCATGACTATTTCAGCTTGTCTGGTTTTATCCAGGGATTATGTGCAGGTGAAGCAGGCTCATCATAGCTGTTCATTTTCTCAAATATCTTGCTTTTAAAAAAATAAAAATAAATTCTAAATCCGCCAAAGACTTGCAGCCTTTGAGCCTGCTCCTCGGTTTGCAGGAATGTTTGGAAAGCAGCGGCGTTTTCCTCCGAGTGGCACAGCACAGTCACCTGTAGGCATCAACTCGTTATGAAACAAGTTGACAAACTGGAAACAAGCGGGACCTAAAATTATCCACCAGTATGTGTGCACTGACCAGAAGGGTCTGCAGGGGGTTCTTACTGCACGTAAATTGTGTGCAATGTAGCAGCCCACCTGTGCGAAAGGAGAAGCAGTGCTGTGTCGTCTCGGTGACAATGCACTGATGCTAGATCCTGCACAAAGGACCAGCTCTTCTGGCTTCACAACGCTAAAATGCCGTGGATCGGGCTTGTCCTGGAGGATGCTGTGTCACCAGCATGGCCATCCTCACATCCTCAGGGTGTTTCTGGCAGGAGCTGTTTGATTCTGAGGATTTAATCTCTTAAACAGTAGCCAGTTTTGCCCGAGACTGATTTATTAGGATGTGCTTAACTTTTGTGACATCTCAGCGTGGAAGGAGGCAGCTTTCCAGACAGCCTTCAGGAGCCGGACTGGCACAGAGGAGCCTTCATGGTACAGGCAGAGGCGCAGTTTGAAGGTAGCATTTTGGAAGCAGTAGGGAACCGAGGTTTTCAACAACGGGCACTACTATACAGCTACCAAGTCAGGGTGCGTTCACTGGCGAGAGCAAGAAGATAAGAGAAGATATAGGTAAGCAGCACTTGGGGTGCTGAGGATCACTTTTAACCAAGAAACATCTAAACTTGCACCTTTCCGTATCCTGCACGTTTTTGTGATGAACGAAGAGCAAAGGTTTTTAGATTTCCTCTAGGTCACAACACACAATTACATCAAGATGTACTTCTTATTCCTACCCCATAGATAATTTTCACTCTTAGGTTACCTGCTAAATGCAGTCGAACCACTTGCAGGATCATGACTATGAGGTGTTTTCTTTAGTGAAAAATTCTAAAATGAATTTAAAAATAAAAAGCAACACCACATTTCATCAAAGGCCTAGGAGGAAAAGAGACTGAAATCCTTTTTACTGGTTTTTTTCATGCTGGTTTTAGATTTTTGTGGGGTTTGCTATTTCAGAAAATCTTACAAAAAGTAGGAGAGAGTGATTTTCAGAATAGGAAGGAGCCTCCACCATTCTGCACAATTAGAGGGCTCTGTGTGGCCTCACATGCCACTCAAGGGAGTGCAAAGAAAATTTTTAATGAAGTCTTAATCTCTACCCTGACACGAAATCCTCTCTGGAAACGTTTCTTGTGATTGCCCACAGTAGTGCTTGTAAGAGCCTCTGGTTAGGAAGCAGCGCTGTGTACACATCTCATTATACAAGCCTGACCAATTTTGGGAATGAGCTCTCCAAAGTTTTGGGAAACTTGGAATTAGGTGGTTTGGGTTGTTTTTTTTTTTTTCCTTGTGAATCTAGAAATCACCTCCTTGTCTCACAAATACAGTTTGTTTCATAAACCTCAGTTGGTAACATATTTAATCAAACTCACTGAAGTGAGCTGTGTTTCTTCAACTGCCCAAGTAATTTATCATTAGCAATTCCCAGAAAAGCAGTATGGCCCAGTAACTTCTTTTATACTCCAAAATTTCAGAAATCTGAGTCCTGCTCCAAGCTCCAACTGTTGACCTGCTCTGTGACTCTGGGCAAACAAGTTACTCTTTTTAGACCTTATTTTATCTGTCTGCAAAGGTGGCCATGTGCCAAGTGCAGTAAGAGGAGGGTCTGATTCAGGCTGACAAACACAGGGGAGAAAGTAGAAGAGGCCCCAGAGGAGAGAGGCTTTATGGCTTGAAGGCAGCTGGGGCAGAAGTCCGGCAGGCTAAGCTATGAGAAGTTTGATTTTTTAATGTGTTTTCAAGTGGTGTAGTCTGAAAATATGGTGGGAAACTTCAGAACCAGAGCAAGCTCATTTGCTAGGTGATTATGAACTTCTTGGGAGGTAATTCTGAGTTCATGAGACTCCCTAGACTAGTGACTTCTTTGGCTCACCCCCATAGAATAACTTGAAACTTTAAAGTGATGTTTGCTCTAGAGATAGAAAAATTGCTTCTGAAATTACTTTGATGCATACTGAGTTTTATCTACTTCTGTAGGATTATGGAATAGTTTTTGCCTGCATTACCTATTGTCATCTTTCTGATGTTCTGAGATTTGTATTAGCTTGTTTCCGAACATTTTGAGGAGGAGATAAATAAGTGCCTGTACTTCTTAAGAGTGAATGCAGAATGATAACAAAAGAATATGCCGTCAGAAATGATGGATTACCCTAACAATGTACATGTATGCTATTGTAGATACCAAACAGCCTCATAAATTTACTCTCAAGAAAAAAAAAACCTGCTGTGAAGATGTTGAGCTCTGCCTCCTTTCTGTAAATCTTTGATTAATATGGAAATTATTTGTGGATTCTTGTCCAGAGAAAGCTAATGCTTTAATGAGAGAAAGCAGGGATGTGTGTCCTGCTAAAAGAACCCAACTCACAGGGGAAAGGATTATAGGATCTGCTGTGAACAGCCCTGGGTTGAAGAACAAGTCCCTTGTTGTCTTGTATTTGTTTTAAAAAAAAATTGCTGCCCTACCTGTGTGATTTTGTGGTGGTAGTGTACATTGTGTTTGAGCAGGCGTATTTTGCTTTTAATACTGCCTTGGATTCTCTGTAGTTTGTATTTTGGGGGGTGATTTTCAAAGATCTTTCTCCTGGAGATGAAAACATAAGTTTATTCCTTTGGTTACAAAAAGGATATCTAGAGTGTAGTCCTGTATGTTGTTTATCCTATGTAGGAACACATTGATTTACAGTGACTATAATACTATATTTGGGGTTTGGAATACTTATATTAAAGAAAATCCATCATGATGACAATGTAATAAATGTAATATGCATGTTGAGATGAAAAATATAATTCATTTTGATAAGCCTGATATATCCCATATTACTGTGTTCTTTGAGGAACATTCTCCCTGTTCTCTCTCTCTCTTAATATATGTCTAAAGTCTTTTCCTTATGTCTTTCCTACCTAGCATCACCCTCTCCTTGTTCATTTTCTGTCCAAAGCAAAACCCTTCAGAGCAAATCTTTGTTGAATTCCTACTACTCAGGTACTAGTGCCAGACTTTTCTTTCCTTTCTAAATTTACTTTGCTTTTGTACGTTTCCCAATATGACCTATAGACTGAATCTTCTGAGTGTGAGATACAGCTAACCTTGTTTTCATTTTTTTGTAACTTCTTTTCCTATTGATCTTCTGTTGATTTCCATTGATCCGTGTCGTGTGGGTGAACGGAATTCCATCTCAAAGTATCATCAGACACTGTTCCATCGACCACGCTGTTAGGTAAGAAGACAGGTATGGTGTACTGCACTTCATTGGAGGGCAAACACACTCATTGTATCTTGAAAATAACTCTAAGAGCATTGTTAAGTGCCTGAGCTCCAAAATCGTAATTAATCCTGTGGTCATGTGTTGTGTTATTTGGAAAGCATTTTGTTTTACTCATGCTTTGTTATTGCTATTAATTGATTATTAATTTTTTTTTTAAAGGAAAGAACAATTCAAAAATTAAGATTTAGGAGTTCGATCTAGTATTGTTTCTTTTGGGGAATGGGATTTGATTTTCTGGGCCAAGTGCTGTCTTGCCTTCAGCTTAGCTTTGATTCATGGAGGTCATCGTGCCTGTGCAGCTGGTGTAGAATCATCGAATGTTTTGGGCTGGAAGGGACCTTTCAAGGTCATCTAGACCAACCGCCCTGCAGGGAGCAGGGACATCCTGAACTAGATCAGGGTGCTCAAAGCCCCATCCAACCTGACCTTGAATGTTTCCGGGGATAGGGCATCTACCACCTCTTAGGGCAACCTGCTGCGGCGTTTCACTGTCCTCACCGTAAAAAAATTTCTTCCTTATATTAGTTTGAATCTATCTTCTTTTGGTTTAAAACAGCTATCCCTTGTCCTGTGGGTGAGCTTTCAGCTATGTGCGTCTTAAGGCTTGCGAGGATTTGCATGCCCAAAGCAGGGGGAACCTACTGTTTGGGACTCAGCTGCAAGTATTAAGGTCATTTAGAGAAATTAGAGGCTGAGTTTGGACAAGCGTATGCTCGGGCAAGTGTATATTCAAACCGTCTGGTATAGAATCATAGAATGGCCTAGGCTGGAAGGGACCTTAGAGATCATTTAATCCAACCTCCCTGTCATGGGCAGGGACGCCTCTCAACTAGATCAGGCAACACATGGGGACCAAATGGGGAGATCTGAGAGGATGACAAAAAGGCAGATTCTGAGAGGCAGAGGCTGTTCTATGGCTGCTGGAAACTTTAGAGGGAGGTGTTGGTGTTCAGCATTTCTGAAAATTAGGTTTTCTTGTTCAGATGACAAATAAAGCATTCAGTGTGCAGCTCAGCTTTTGGATTTTTAAAAATAATGTGTTTTTACAGTAAGTCAACAGAGACAGCAAAATTGGCAGAAACTGTTAGCTGATAAAAGAAGTTACCCAGAAACTTACTGGAGGTGTACCCTTGAAAGTGAGTAATAACAGCCCAGAACTTGAGGCTCTCCCCGAGGACGCTGCCTGCATGTGGAACACAAAGAAGGCAATTCCTCCGCTGTGAGTCAGAGGGATGATGTGTGGTTGATCAGGATCTAGGCAGTGGTATTTATCAGACCTGTCATTTTGGATTATCTGCAGTAAATGTTCACTTCCAGACACAGCAATCTACTGTGGCTGCTTTTAACATTACTCTGAGAGTGTTGAAGGCCCGCAGTTAGACCAGGAAGAAATCACAACCTGAGTGCCTTGGCTTAGGAGAGGTGAACAGCCGGGGCACAGAGGCTTGGAGGGACTACCACGATCCACACATTTATCCTCCTTTTTATCGAAGTGCTGACAGCAACGAATGAACCCTCTTTTGGTGAGGTGGGGAAGGAAAAAGAGTCCTTTTTTTCCAGAAGGTTAGTTCTTGTTTCCCAGAGACTCGGTTTTGTTGATCAAAAAACCTAAAGGTGGTTTTATCTTTTGGTGCTCTACTTCAGAAACTTCCTACCTGCAGATTGCTGGAAGATGTCAAACTGCCTTCAAGGTGGTTCTTGACATCTGTGAAGACTGGCCCCTCGTTTGAGGGAACTGTTTTCCCCTTCCTGTCCCCATGGTGAGGATGAACATGTGAAGTCCACACCTCGTAACCTGAAGCTCAGGGAGCAGTAAGCAGATTCGATCTGTACCCCTAGTGGGAAAGAAAAAGCAAAAAACAAGGCCCCTGAAACTTCAAAAATCCCAAATTTTCAAGAGGAAGAAGAGGAAGTAGGAATAAAACTGGTCTTGTGCTTATGTAGTCAAAACTCTTTCAAACTTAACTTCTAACTGCTCTACCTGAGTAAGGATTAATATCCCTGTTTTACACATGGGAAGTTAAGTACAGAGTACTTTTAAGACATGATTTACAGAGACTCCAGTTCCATCTGAATTTAACAGCCACAGGTACTGAGAAACAGCCCTTGGCATTGAAGAAATTTCTATCTTGTGACTTGAAGACAAATTAAAACCTTGGTGTTCTGGCTTCTCAGACAGATTCACCAGACACTGGATGTTGCTGTATGAGCAAAATAAGTTTAATTTTTGATGTTTATTAATTTTCATTCCCATGAAGGAAAAAGATCTTAAAAAGGGCATCAGTCATCCCGCTACCAATATCCATCTTTTGGCACTACCTGCAGTTCAGTGCTATTTGTTCCCATCTGTTATGCCTTCTGCTAATAAATGTTCTCTATGTGTGATAGTAGATGACTCCCTAGGCTTGGCTGTGACATGATTTGTTGACAGCAAGATATAGGGGATTTTGGATTTGCCTCTATCCTATCCCATGCTTGATTAATGCTTTTTTATGTAATTCATGTTTTTAGCACCATTATTTTCTCTTCCAGTTGTAGACAACTCTGGATTCAAATCTTTTGCACAAACATCTTAATTAGAGAAGTTTAAATTTAATACTAAGAAATAGAAGAATTACATTTCCCTGTTTTTAAAATTTCAGTAACGCCCATCTGGTACTAGTACTGTAAGGCCTGAAGAGAAAGTAGTACGACCTTAGAGGTTGTTTTTCGAGACCATGTGCATGGCTAGCGGCTGTCTAAGATGTTCAGCAGATGTCATCAGGACAGGGGAGCCGCTGTGTCCTTCCCTTGCATCTATTAACATCCCCTGGCAGTATGTGAGGACATTTGCCCTTGTTCTCATTTCAACTGCTCCTCAAGAGGATCCTTACAACCAGAGTCTGTGCCCTCCAGAGACCATGAGGACTGTGGTGCCTTGTAGTTCCTGGCAGAAGGAACAAGGAGAGAAAGCTCGCTGTCAGGCAGTCTCACTGACTTGTGCTTGGAAGGACGTGGCCATTTGCCCTGAATGTCCATCTCCTGTAGCTTGGATGGGCTTTCTGCCCATGCCTAGTCAATCTGCTGTGGGTATATCCACAACCTAATGTCTGAAGAACTAAAATGACACGAAGAAGCTGATATTGCTGCTTTAGCAAGCGTCACCATTACTGGCTTTTTAAATTGCGGGATGAGATATTTTTATGCAATGGAAGCTCGAAAACCAGTGGCTTGATCCATTCCGTTGCACCTGTAGCCTCCCAGGCCATGTCAGTCCTTGAGGAGCCATGAGAGAGCTTCTTACATCAGTCACAGAATCACAGAATGTTCAGGGTTGGATGCGACCTCTGAAGACCATCTAGCCCAGCACCCCTGCCAGAGCAGGATCGCCCAGAACAGACCCCACAGGAACACATCCAGGCAGGTTTTAAAAGTCTCCAGAGGCTTCACAAACTCTCTGTGAGTGCCCTTGTAGGCTGTTACTTGAGCTGAATTCTTCTTAGGTTTCTTCTACCTGCACAGGTTTGGGTAACTTGGAAAACTCTCTCTTCTAGACTTTATTGGCTTCCAGTCTTCTGCGCGGTTTTCAGCTGGGACTAGTGAGTTGCTCTCTAGGGTAGGTAGGTCCAGCAGTCTCTTTTCACCAAGGAGGCCAAGAGAGATTTGACCTGGGGAGGTCCCCGTGCTTGAAAAGCTGCAGTTATGCATGTACCCAATAGTCTTAAGTCTTAGTCCAGTTCACCAAAGCATCTTCCTTACATCTTTAAGGGGATTTTCTTCTATGCTAACTGTAAAAAAAAAGCATGCAGTAGGTTTTATAAGATTAGAATGCACTTGTGTAAGGTATTTACCAAGCAATTCTTAGAAATCTCTTTAGAATCCAGAGAAAATTACTTTCTCTAGCCTTTTTTTTTTCTCTCCTGCGCATATGACTTCTTCATAGCCTTTGAAATGAAAGGTGCATCCTCCGCTTTCTGTCAAACCTGGTGTCAGAAGGCTTTTTCTTAAGAAATGTGCCTTTTTATAGCTCAGTTGATAGCATTAGACAAATAATGTTTTGACTTTGGCTTGCTGTACCACTGCTTGTATTTTGTATAGCACATTATAGCTGGATATTTATCATATCATAAAGCCTTGATGCACACAAAAAGGCAAATTAATTTTACGAGCTTGCACCATATCCCTAGTGTAAGGGGAAGAGATATTAGCCATGCTGTAGTCATCCTTGGAAGATGTCAAATAATTGACAACCCTTACTCTAGTGTAGAGTGACTGGATAGGTGTGTAATTAAATCCATCACAAACACCATTCAAAATATAATTTATTTTGTGCAAAGGATGTCTTATCATGTTACACACTTGCCAAAGCTAAGAGAATAAAAATATAAGCAGAGATGATAGGCCTGTCATTTCAGACACAGAACGAATTCATGGATATTAAAGCAAAAGTTTTGCAAGAAACTGCATCTAGGAAATGACACGCTGGTGCAGCATTGCTTTTAGTTGTTTGAGGCATATGTTAAGTTTCTGTTCAGAAGGCAACATCATTCTCTGTGTCCTCGTACGTATCTCTCAGGCTAACAAACCGATGTATATGAAACAAGGTGACATCTATAAAAGGATCTAAAGTTTCAATCCCCAAAGCTGCTCTGGATGCTCCTGCCAGCCACAGTGGGACATTGCACAGGGGTCTGGTCATGCAGAAGCCACTTGCAGGCTGGGAATCTAATTTCTCGGCCTCTCTTCATCTTTCCTGTGACATCTGTGGAGGAGTTTATCAGTTTTTCTGTGGAGGGAGACATATTTATTTTACTTGTCTGGGCAGCAACAGAAGTATATAATACAAGGTGTCGTAGAGGCAGGCAGGCAATATTTTCTCACCCTCAGGGTTACTCATCAAATGGGGAAAGATGCCGATTCCTCGCCGGTCTCTCCTTCAATTCAGCTCTTTGCACGCTGGACTCAGTTATATTTCTCGTAGCAGAGTGAGACCTGAGTTAACTTCGGCAAATTCATCCTTATTTCTCCAACAAAGAGAGATGCAGAAGCAGAGTTTCATAAGCAAGGAGAGTTTGTTAATATTAAAAGTGGAGTCAATTTGATTATCTGCAATTACACCCTAAACAGATAAACTGAGATACCTGAAGAGTTTCCCAGTCAGGCCAGTTGTGTGAGAGCCAGTGAATCATTGATTTAACATCTTATACAAAATTTCAGGGTATTCTGTGAACTCTTAGGCTGATAATCGAAGTGCCAGCTTCCAGAAATCAGAATACCTGTGTTGACATCTTAGTATGAGGAATAAGAGTGTTGCACTAGAAAGGGTTAACAAACAACCTAACAAAATATTTTACTAGTGCAGCTGCTGCTATTGCAAACAATCCTGTTACAAACAACATGTTTGCAGCAACTTGCAGAATACCTATTTTATTTAAAGCTGCACAAAAAGAACTGTAGAAAATTGGGAATGGCTCTAGGAGGGAACTGGGGCCCCTGACCAGCCTGCCCTAATGAGTCTTCAGAAGCTCTCAATTGATTTACTTTATCAAAGAGAAACTGAAGAAAGTGATGTGATCAGTGTCTGCACGGGTCAAGATTTCAAATGCTCAGAGGGCTCTTTAATCTAACAGAAGGTATAAAAAGATTCAGTGCCCACAAGTCAAAGCTAAGCAAAATCAAATTGCAATTAAGAAATGTTTAGACAGCAAAGGTAATTAACCGTTGCCACAGCTTCTGGGGTCAGAATTGAATCAGCATCTCTTGCAATGTTTAATTTGGATTATTTCTTGGAACTGTGTTCCATCTTTGGTGTGCAACGAAATATGGTCGTATGACTTCTTATCAACAAAATGAGGACATATGGCTAGAAATAAAATGTGCATATGAAGTATAATCAAAAAAACCCTGATGCACGATTCTATATGTATAGTGGTTTCTGAGTATCAGAGTGAATTATTTCAAGCATCTTTAAGAGAAAAAAACCAACAAATCTATATTCTTGATATGCTGTTCTCACTGAAAACTTATATATGGCGCACATACTTTAAAGGCACTGCCAAAACTTTAGCAAACTCTTGTCCAACTTGTCTTACAAACTCTTCCTCATTTGCAAGGGAATGGGGGCAAGTTTGTGAAAAGGGGATGGAGAGAAGTGACTGGAGAAGATTGGTCTGTCTTGCCTTTAGTGTAACAATTAAAGCAGAAGTCTGACTTTGCTGGGGAGCTGCTATTCTTGTTTTTCCCAGTAATAGCAGCGCCAAAAGGAATGAGATGCGTTTGGTAGCTGCAACCTGCAGGAGAAGCAAAGCCCATTTGCAAGCCCTCCAAAGACTCTTTTGCTTGATTGTCCTAGGGAGAGATCAGTTTGCTGCCACCTCCTCTCCCACCTGCACTTTGAATTTTTCACACAACCGCCCTAAACAGCACTTCTTGAGAGAGGGTGGTGTGCCTTGCGTGAGCACCTCATTAACTGTGCTTGGGTTCAGGCTGGTGGTGTGATCAGACAGAAAAGGAACACAATGTGTTTCTCCCATCAGCCTTCATTGGCAGAACATCTGAACACTAGGCTTGCCTTGTACCTGGCAGTTTGTGTCCCATAAAAGCCCCTCCACTCTTCCCTTGGCCCAGCTAAGATGCTGGTGGGACTCACTGAGAGCCGTCCTGAGCTGATGCAAGTGTTGGGCTTGGGTTTTCTTTCAAGTAGCACGGAGGCTGTTCAAGGTGTGTTTGTCACAGCTGTCCAGAGGAGATGATGATCTACCTGGTTTCAGCTCTGAGTGTCATAGGGTTGAGAGGAGGATGACTCAGATTTTGTGACACGCTTTTTTTTTTTTTTTTTTTTTTTTTTTTTTTCCCCCTCTTTTAAGCAGAAATGCTTGACTGGATGAGAGGTATGCAAGTATGGACCATACTGCAAGAGCTGTTACTGCAGTCGGGGGCCTTTGTGCCATTTTTTATCTCTCTGGCCAAAGAGACCAGAAGCTCAGTCGTCCCTACAAACTGAAAGGCTGGAGTCACATCCCTCTTTGCTGCTGGGCAGCTGCTTCTTAGTCCGGTCATAACACAGGCCCCTACTTTGAGAGAAAGGAGGGACACCCCTTTCCTAGCTTTCGCCTCTCTCGGTGCTAATTCTCTCGGAGAAGGGAGCCCAAGTATACCAGAATTAAAGGATCTGATGAAGAGAGAAAATAATAAGTGCCTGCAAAGGAGCTGACTGATCTGAGCTACGTTTTACAAGTAGCCTGTGCTCTGCGTGTGCCCTTACCATATTAGCACTAGAACCGCACATTAGTTTTAAGGCTCCCTCTCGAATAGGGATCTCGTAATGTTTTTTAATTGGGGCTGATAAAAATGTGGCATTACTTGCAGGTTCCTCAGAGAAGCCAATTGTGAAATTGGGTTTGTATTAAACCTAATGATGGAAAATTAAGCATAGTGCGTCTGTCGGAAATGGCCTGCGATAAAAATCTTCTCCTCTCCATTACAGGAGGTTAATAGGGAATAGGGGAGGAAAGATGCACTGGGAAAGCGAATCCAACTAGGGGAATTAATAAGCCTTGAAATTCCCTCTGTTCAGAGTTCTCACACCGTCATTAGTCGGAGCATTAGGGATGATTATACAAATGCTTTGGATGTTACTCTTCCTTAAATCCCAAATTTATTCACATTTTGTATATGAGGGTTGCTTTGCTAGAGCCATAGCTCTTTAAATCTCTAGTGTCCTGGGAATGTGACCATGTGTATGAGAACCTGGGATTCAGAAATCCTTAAATTCAGTAGCCTGATCTTCAAAGCAGATGATTGCTTTGTGCTAATTTATTTCAGAAGCAGCAGGATATGTTCAGCATCTCCGACAATTCAACCACCAGACGTATTTATCTTGCGCTGGAGATGCCCTGCAGCGGTGTCTGCTGGTGACATTCCTTTCTCCTCCTCGTAGTCCTGCAGCCTCAACTCGGAGTGTATGCCTGCCTTCATACCTTCCCCCTAAGATAACAGAAAAGCAGCTGAAGTGTGACTGGTAGGGTTTTGTCACCTTGTTGGGTCGCCGACCACCGGGCAGGCAGGCGGTGCGATGTCCTGCGTTGGCAGTGAGAGGGACAGGGCACAGCGCCTGACTGCTTCTGGTCGGAACTCCATGGCAGTTTCTCAAGGAGAGCAATGCTTACAAGAGCGTTCTGGCCATATTTCTGCCTCGCCAAAATCCCCCTGAAATTGCAATTTGATTTATTTATTCTTTATCCCTTCAAAACCATGACTGTAGTATTGCTGACAAGGGATAGTGTTTAGGCTCTTTGTCAGTAAGCTTTCTGTAAGAAACAAGCCCTGTGTATGCAAGCTCAAGGGGGTTTTATGAGCAATCTGAGGGAGATATGTTTTCTGTTTGCTACTGTATTGGGTGTGGGTAAGACCAGAAAGAATTGACGCAGACGGTTAAGGCCTGTGTGTGCAAAAGGACCCAAGCATCTCAGGTGCCTGTAATCATAAGTAAAAAATTGGGGGTTTTTTGACACTTATTTATATTTGCTCAACTCTGGTCGAAAAGAAACTAAATTTTTCATTTAATCTGAGTCTCTGTTGTTAAAAACAAATACTGTGACAGTCAGTTGTTTGGTTATTTAAGTTCTGTTCTATTAGTTCACGAGGAATGTTTTGTCATGTATGTAGAGTTTTGCTGGGGATAGGAGGTTACAGTTCCTTCTGCGTAGTGATAGAAATTTTTTTAAATCTGCTTCTTTCAAAAGGAAACCTTTTTTCTGTTAAGTTTGCATGCCTGAAATTTAAGTTTCTCTATGCAAGATAACTGTATTTTTATGGTTTGATATTTCTGGTAATACTGCATCTTTGGAATTGAAATATAAATTTTAGTCCTGAACTGGCAGGATTTAATTCACCTCTAGCATCCTGTGTGACTTATCTGAAATGCTAATAATTTGTTTGCTATCGACTTGGGCCCCTTTCAGTTATCTCATGCTGTACACCTCAAATCCCGCTTTGAATATCTTGCTCATCCGTATGTATCTTTCAGCTGTGTTCTTTGCAGGTTTGTGAAGAGAGGTATGTAGTTGGATTGGAGTGGTTCTGCAGAGCTCACCCTTCCAAAACTTATGATTTTGCTCTATGTGCTGCATCCCCTTTAGCCTGCTTGGCTGTCTACACCCTTCCTATCTCTTTGGGTTTCTTTCCTCGACACGAAAAATATTCCAGTGTGCTTGAGTCTTTCTAGGCAGCTGTGTGTGTTTCCTATGTTATTCTTTCACCTTTTTTTGCCTGCACCAACCTGTGAGGTGGTGGAGAAACAAGTGAACGTAATGGAGCGAGGCTGAGAATGGAAATACCAGCAAGGTGAAAGCTTGTGTTGCCTCCCTGTCTTTAAAACAGACAGCAGCCACGGAGAGATGACCCAGCCGACCCTGACCATCCAGACGCACCCGTACCGGAGCTGCGAGCCCGTGGAGATGTCCTACCCCCGGGGGCAGTTCCAGCCAGCCATCCGAGTGGCCGACCTGCTGCAGCACATCACCCAGATGAAGCGAGGACAGGGCTATGGATTTAAAGAGGAGTATGAGGTGAGAGAAACCTTCGCTCACCGGAACGGGTAGAGAAGTTGGGCTCATGAAGGGTAGTTGTGCTCATGTCCGGGAGGGGAGTGTAAAAGGTTTTAAGAGCTTCTTTTCCTTAATTCACATACCCTCCTAATCTTTTCCTTTCTCCACCTGATTTCTCTTTATGAGGGTAGGATTTTACAGCACTAGCAGTCTTCGGTGGACCTCTAGTCCAAAGAAAAGGTGTTTACTATAGGAGTAAGATGCCTTCTAACTCCACGTGAGGAGAGAAGCAGACAGTGCGCTGCAGAAATGAAAGCAGCCCTCATGGCCCTCATCTCTTCCCCCCAAGCTGGAATGACCAGGAATGTAGTCCAGATGACAAGAGGAAACGTGACATTGGAGAGGAGTTGGAAGAGGAATATGCGTTTAGAGCAGAGAGAACAGAAGAGGGAAATAGCTTCAAACATATGTGAGACTTTACTCTAGCAAGCGATAATTATAATGAATGTAGTAAGCTTGTGGGGAGGCAATAAGCAATTAATATGCATAGTGGCATTAAAACTATTTAAAAATAACATAACAGCTGTGAAAAATAAGTTACTTAATGAAAACAGCTCGCTTTTCCACCCTGCAAGTAAGAGTCCATGGGGTTTGTACCATTGATGCTGGGTTTTACTGTAATTGAGAGGCAAATTTTTCCCGGTTGTCACCAGGGAGTACTTTTTTAATCAGATGACATCAAAGACTGTCCTAACAAATGTTTCTGGTAACTGTGTGTTAACCAGGCCTAGTTACTCATGTCTCACAATCAAGCACAGTAATTAAACTATCAATTGAACAATATGAAAAAGAGTTAATAACTCACTTAGGAGATTTACTTAGACCTCTCCTCATCCTCCCCCTGCCCCTTGTCTCCATTTCCATGAATACTACCCAAACCCACATTCAGCTCAGTTACAGATGCCCCAAGATCTAGTTCTTGATGTTCAAGAAGAAAACAGGTGCTGGTATATATGTAATTTTCTGGCACTGGCATTGGTAATTATCAAAATAGCACATTAGCATGAAAAATGTCAATGCAACTTTCGGCTCCGCAAGTTCTGCCTTTCCCAGAAAGTGCTATCTACATACGTATATAATGACGATGACATTATATAGATTTGCATAATTCCTTTCTCTACAAGAAATAGCCTGGAGAATGCCACAGGCTCTCAAATCACACGCGCTGTTCTACCCTTCAATCAGAGGTAATTGCCCGAAGGAGCAGTCATTTTCTGTGGTGGAATTTGTTTTTCAGAGCACGAGATGCAGGCAGCACTTCAGCTCCAAATGGCTTTCGGCAGCCACCAGCGACACCACAAATGCAGGAGGGTGCCAGGGAGGGTTGTAACTCCTCGGAGGTGGGAGGTTTGAGTTGGCTGAGAGCGATGTCTCAGGCAGGGATCTGGAGGAGCACAAAGCTGCAGAGCTGGCTTTGCGAAACGTTTCACAGAACAGTTGACAAAGTCTTTGAAAAGGATCCGATGTCTCTTTTTAAAAGCGTTTTCATACACTAATATCAGCGTCACCTCCAAATATTGTTTTTTTTTCCTTTGAAGGAGCTGATTTTCTACTTACTTTGCAAATTGATAGCATAAATTACACCCTATTTAGTGACGTGTTGCCAAATAATTTTACTCTCGTGAAAAATCACTTTGAATGGAGCGCATCTGTCACACATGACAATCTCTTATCTCTGTACATTCTCATCTCCACTGAATAACCTGGAAATTACATTCGATATTTATTCAAAGCACACCTCCACGTGCAGACCACTGGAGCACGGGCAAAGTGTTTGGCTGAGGGCATCCAGAAGAATTTTTCTGGTGCTTGCATCTTGCACGTAACTCCCCGCTGACATGAGAAGCAGGACGTGGTTGTGTAAGTGGGGTCACTGATGGTGTGAAACGGGTGATAATCTCCTGTGAGTGCAAATGTGGGAATCCGTCAGCACTTGCCATGTGGGGTATTTTGGGTTTGCCCGCTGCACCAGAGGCCAAAGTCTGACTTCTGGCCTTTTTAGCTGCTGCTTCTCTTGAGCAATAAAATGCATAGACCACAAGAGAAAAAAATCCATCACTGGCACTGGATGGAGATAGCACTATTTGGAATTAGGCATGGCCGTAAACATTTGAACGAGACGTGTTTAAATGTCACCTGTTCCTTCTTCAGAACGTACCAGCCCTGATTTGTTGTGAGCAGGGGGACTGGTCCTGTAGACTTACTGCGAGCAACAATTACTGGCTGCAGAGATAATAAGCTTAAATATCCAAACTCGTTTTCCATTATGATTTAAGATGTCACTAAAGCACATTCTCCTGCTGCATTACTGAGACTGTTTAGTTATTTTGGATTTTGTGGCTCCTTCCTGGAGCATCTTAATAGTGAGAGTCTTCAGCTTATTGAAACCACCTCTGAAGTTTAACTCTTTCATTTCTGGCTGGCTACACATCTTCCGTCTGGTCAAAAGAACAGATCCTGTAGTGCAGGCTGCGACATGACATTGCAAAATGTTCAGCAGCAGGGTCTTACTGTAGATGTTGTCCTTGAGCCCGGTTGGCTTGGGGACCTGAGCTGGCTAAAATATTTCTTTTCAGGTTAGGGTGTTTTTTTTTGATTTATTTCTTTTTTTAGCCAAAGCAGCTTTTAACCCTGAGTCACAGCAGAGGTGTGGGAATGGTTTTGCCACCACTGCTGAGAGGCTCCGAGGCACGTGTGGAGATGAGCAGCAAGACTTCTAATTGATGATATTGCCTTTGGCAGCGATACTGCGGCGTTGGGGTAGATCAGTGCAGATGAATGAGTCAAGTTTTCATATTTAAATTAAAAACAAACAGCGAACTAACTAAATGCATCCATTGGAAATTTAAATTGGCTCGCAATAAGCCTCAATTTAATGTGAACACTTTAGTCATGTTTGAGCCGTGGTGCTTAGAAAGCTTGATTGAGATGAAGCTGTCTTTGAGAGATCTATCCGTGTAATTTCAGATAAAAATTATATTAATTTGGCTTTAAAAGCATCATTGTAACATAAATTCCACTACTCGAAAGATATTTCAGTATAAATTTTACAAAGCTTCCCTACAGATGAAAAGAAAAGCCTCAAGTCAGGTCCAGATTTTTTAACACTGAAATTTTACTCTTAACAAATCAAAGAAAGAAGGGAAAGCTTTTCCTGTGAAATGCGAATCAAATACCAGTGCCTGAGTGATCTACTCTGATTTACCATTGCTGATAATGCAGAGAGAACAGAAATATTTTGCTATTATGGAGATACTTTCTGTACAAACAAAAGCTGAAGGTACAAAACATTAGGTATGCTCCTCTTTTTCTGGATGCATCCAGATTCTAATTGGTGTTTTGGCCTTTGTATTTCTAATGCAGTTTTGGTTCTTTTCACTGCATTTTTAGTGATCTCACAGAAAAAAATCTTGGTGCGGTGCCATCCGTGAACATGCAGTTACTCCAGTTTGCTCTTCTGGTTGTATAAAAGCCGGGGTGTAAGGCGTACACCTCTGCAAAAGTAGTTTGTGTTCCTCACCAGCCAGAGCTGTGTTGGTTGTTCTGTGAAAAGCAGAGATTTCTTTGGTATTGAATGAGATGAAAAATCATGGACTCTTAAATCTTTGGAGGCTGTATCAGGCAAATATAAAAACATCAATTTCAATGGAGAATTTCGTGTTTAAATCACATGAAAGAATAGGGTTGGTTGAAAAGGGATTTATTGAACCTGAATGTATTTTCTTTGGCCAAGAGAGCTTCCACCACATGAAATTCATGAGAAAGGTTTTTCTTTCTCTTCCTGTTTCTTTTTCTTTTCAGATGGCTATGATTAGATGTCTCATGACTGTTGCCATTCTGTGGTCAATTTGCTGTAATTTGATATTAGTGGAAAAATAAGGCACCTTTTTCCTCAGTCTTTGAAGATGAAAATGATCCTTCCTTCTTTTTTCATTGTGTGTGAGTTGGTTGGTTGGTTTGTGGGGGGTTTGGTCTGGGGGATTTTTTTGTTTGCTTTTGTTTTTTCTCTCAGATGAGCTGCTATTTGGAAACAGCTGTCTACGAAGGAAATATATCTGTGATCAAAACCCTCACCAATTACAGAGTTTATTACTCTTTCTCCTGGGCTTTTGAATAGGAAGACGCTGTCCCTGTCTTTTGTCAGCAGTGCTTGTGGCAGTGCTGCAGTGCCTGACATTTTCTGTCCTGGAACCCCTTTGGGGAAAATTCACAATCATCTGGGCTGCCGGGGGTTTGCTCATATTAAGTTTAATTGTAATGTCAGTGTTGTAGATCCTAATAATTGTGTCTCTCTGCTATTGCATTCGGGCACTGTAATAGACCTGGATGGCTTGGGAAGATGAATATAAATTCATTTTCTAGCACAGCTGTGTCAAACTACCCGCTGCTAGCTAAGGCAGATGCGATTCTATAGTGTATAAAACCCCCGTTGTTCCCTAGGGACCATAAATAATACAATTTATAATGTTGCTGTTGGTTTTAGTAACGTAGGATCACGCTAGCGAGCAGATCCTGGAGGAGGCAGACCCGTAGGGGCGATTCTGTGGGAGCTGCTCTTCTCCCCAGCGGTGTTTTCAGCCCTGGGTCAAGGCTTGGGTGTCTGCAGGCCATCGCAAGCCTTGGCTAAACATCTCTTCGTGATGCCCCCGTACCCAGGGAGGTGGTGCCGATGCTGTTTTGGTGTGCCTGTGCTGGGACAGGGCGAGGGATTAGCCTGCTCACAGGCAACCCGCCCGTCTTCCAAGGGAGTCAGGACCATCCTCCAAGCAGATCCCATGACATCCCATGAGGATTTTCCTGGCTCTGCCTTGAAAACCCTTCCTGGACATTTCTCAAAGGGATAGGGGCTCATTTGGGTGCTCAGAACATTCGCGGGGCCAAGCTACAAGTGTAGCATTGTGTGCTCCAAGTTTCCTTACCCCGTCCTTTCTCAACTAACAGAGCACATTTTAGGAAGGTCACTGCTTAGTTTCATACTTCACGAGCAACTTCTGTCCCCTTTTGACTCACTTCCTTACCCATGAGCTTTTTTTATTTTTCTCCAAAGAAAACCAGCTAGGGGTTTGTATTGCATCACCTTGTTATTAAGGTAGAAATAGGTGAAATCACTGTGTCTGTTTTCAATGTAAATTTGAAAGGCTGAGCACTGTATTTCAGCCGTCTGGGCTTTCTTAGAATTGTCTACAAGTGAAATCTCCACAAACTGTGTTCTACAGGAAAAATGAGGTTAACCTGTGACTGTGCATCCAGAAACAAATTCCCCTGATCTTTTTAGATTCAAGTAGCAGGAGGAAAATGATTCTTGGCTGGCAGAAGCCAAGAGATGCAAATGGTCTGCATCAAGCTTTGCTTTCTGCATTAGTGGATGTGCCCTTTCCTCAAGAACAGCTGTTTGCTTGGTTGGCTACTGAATTATGCAGCACCTTTATTTTTGCCCTGCTCAGTCATCTTAATCCACCTGAAGGCACTGGCCAGATTTTTACAAGCATTCCACTATGTTTATTTTGCAGGCACTACCTGAGGGGCAGACGGCATCCTGGGACACAGCCAAGGAAGATGAGAACCGCAATAAGAACAGATATGGAAACATAATCTCCTGTAGGTGTAAATTCACATTAAACTGAGCTTTCTGTAAGATTTTATATGTGTCCTGTGGAAAAGAGTGTGTTTGAGAATCTCACTAAAAGCTGGTTTACAGCACTGAGCATTCAGTAACTCAGTCTGGTTGTTGTAGGCTGCATTTCTATGATTTTCTTGATTTTCTTTGATGTTTATTTTTTCATTGTTTTATGTAAAGTCATTGCATGAGCTTATGGGGTTTATACGTGTTTTCTATCCACCTTGCTTTTGTACTTTGTGATTTAAAGGCTAAATCCTTTTTTCAGATTTTTGCAGTGGGTGATGTTGCACATTTTCTGTCCCTTTTTACTATATAAGCCAGAATGTTCAGTGCCACGAATGGGAGCACAAAGGAGATGCAGATATATCACATTCTGAGATATGGATCAGAGATCACATTTTCTCTGTCGTTGTGGTCAGTAACCAGTGGAGCCATCACTGTTTGTCCCCAGAGAGGTGGTCTGATGTGTGAGACCAGCTTAACTTTTGCCTCAGAATCACAAGAAGGCAGCTGAAAATGCACTAAAGCTTTTTGGTTTTACTTCTTTCAAAAAGCAGTTCCTGTTGATGTTATAGGAATATGGATACCTTGGGGAACAGCAGGGTGATGAAGGACTCCATAAAACCATCCAGGTCAGCTTTATTCTCCAAGTCAGGACTAGGTTCGCCTCTGTCATTTTTATCAGATATTTGTGAAGCTTTCCACAAGCTCTCCTGGCAGCTTCCCCCAATGTTCTGTCATTCCTTATAATGATGGGGGGCGGAGGTGTGAAGAATAATTCTTATTAAGGGCTGCTCAGCAGCATCAAGTTGGAGAAGCCATGCCTGAGACCATGAGAACAAGAAATAAGGATATAAACGCATGTGTCATTGGTTTTCATGACTGGATAAATCTATAGAAGGCTATAAGAGCAAAATTAAGTCACGTTGGGTGAAATCAAGGAAGCCAAATCGAGAAATTAAGGAAGCCAAATCAAGGAAGATAAATGGGGCATTATCTAAAGGGAAGGTGCTCACAAAGATGAGTTGTTGCCTAACAGTGATGTTAGCCTTTGAACTATAAATACACAGTAGCAATGCAGACAGGAGGTGATCTGCTTGTGCAAGGGAATGCAAAATGTAATCAAAGCCAAGGAAGAAATATGTTGTGCGCAGTATAAAACATCAGAAAAGAAGCTCGAGTTTGAGGGCTGTTGGGAAAGATTTCAGAATGAGGTTGAGAGAGCGGAAAGGAGGAGTTGGAGGTAAATAACAAAGCTGAGTGGGTTTTCTTTGCTTCAAATATATATTGGAATGGAGAGTTTTAAGGAGGAGAGAACTCTTCTAAAAGACAGCAGGAAGAATTTAGTGATGGGCAAAGGTGATAAAATGGAGTGAAATCTTCTCTTCACTTCAAAGAGACTAGGGAGAAGGGAAGCAGGATGCCTGCAGAAGGACCATATCATCCATCAAACGTTTGGTAAAACCAGTGGGAAATTTTCAGTGGTGTCACTGGCTAAGCCTTGAGGCAGGCCCTGCTGATGCGCAACGTTGGGCAACTTCCTGAGTAAAGGCGACAACAGGATCCAGAGTAGAGAGTCGGTAGCAGAGCTGAGAATAGCAGGAGAGTGGTTCCCTCTGGGCAGATGATGAAAATGAATTGTCGTCAGTAGGTACAATCTGTACAAAAGCCTGAGCAGAGGAGGGGAGGTGGAGAACAGTTGCACTCTTAGCTGCTTTGTTGCAGTAGAATTGTGATTGCTGGTAAAACCCAGAGTGTGCACTGATTGCTCCTACCGGTTTATTTGGCAAAATGTTGCAAATGGCAATTAACATGTTTTATTTAACCACAGTTGCCATTTTGTCACTCCTGGAACATGATAGCCTGTGCCTTTTGGGGAGTGAATTGAAAAGTCAGGTTTTGATCTAACTTTTGTAACTACTTCAGAGACTTTTATTAAACTCTGGGTTTTGTAAACTCTTGCAATAAGTAGCATTGCTCAGTGAATCACAGCAGATTAGATCTTGTCTTTATGGCCTTCTGGGTAACAGTACACTGACAGGACTGTTTCGCTCAGCTCACTGCTTTCCCAGGGCTGTATTAACATCGTGCCTCTCTACGAAAACCTAGATCTTACTGCCAGCCCCAGCATCTGCTGTTCTTACAATTACAGCCCAAAACTGCAGATGAGGCTAATCTGTTCACGGGGAGGGGGTAGATGCAACAGAATTTGAAGCTCTCCCATGCTCAAAGCCTTGGCTTTTTGGTGTTCCCCTCAATCTGCAACACTGGTATGTCTTTTGGAGATGAGGAGAAGCTGTGGAGTGGATTTGGTGTCTGTATGACCCAGAAATCCACCGTTGATGGTGGAAGGATGCTCTGTATGCACTGATTTCCCATGCCAGAGGGAGCTGCCCTACTGGAACTTCTTGTCATCTTGGCAGCATCCATGAGCTTTGCTCCTCTGATTTGGGTATAAAAGTTGTGAACGCAATGACAGTAGGGGCAAGGGTAGGTAGTGGATCTGTTTATGTGCTGAAGCAAAATTATTTGTATTTGCTTTAGGGCCTATATATCAAGGTGTTTCAAAGTGCATCAAGTGATTGTTGGGGAGGGATGTTGAGCTGAACCCGTTGCATAGAAAACAACCAAATGTTATTTGGGACTTTTGGTTCTATTCTGCTTCTCCTCATCAAATTTAGAGCTGTTACATATAGGAGAGTGAAAACTCTCAGATGAGAGCTGAGGAAATGAAGACATCAGATTGTGTTTTGCTTTGACTTACAGGAGAGTGCTTTCTTACCCCTTTTGTCCCTTTGCTGAGGGTGGTGTTACAGGAGAGGTCAGCACTCACAGGGGTGCTCATACGGCTTAAGACATGTCCTCCCATCTGCAGTGGAGCTCCACCATCTTCCCACTTAGGCACCATGGGTTTAAATTCTTGAGTTGGTCCATTAAAAACCGTTGAGTTGATAACAAAAGGCAGTAGAGAAATTTCCTTTATTTCCTTCACTCTGACTCTACCATATGCTTTGAGCTGGAAGACCATTAATTAATCAGAGAATGTAATGGTGGAAGAGATGAACAACGGAGAGAGATTAATGAAGCTCTTAGCTGACAGGCAAGCACTTCTTACCCATGGACAGGGATGATGCATAAACTAAAATAAATACCACATGTCAATATTGGATTTAGAATAGAAGTCTTTTGTCTTCCAAGCATTTTTATTCCATGGTTTCAGCTGTAGTGAGTAAACTTTTGCTTGTCCTTGCAATGTCCACTACGTGTGTCCTGAGAGGATGGGATATATCCAACTTGTTGTTACCCAGTTCTCAAGGCACAGTCCAGGATCTGTGAGGATAGAAAGAGGAGGACAATGTGCCTTGGGAGGGCAAATCATCCTTCCGTGCCAGAACTGGTCTGAATTGTTTCAGATGTCTGTATCTGTATTTCTCCATCATCTGTGTGGGGAACCTTGACAGCCAGTTTAGACTGACTGCGTGATGTTTAGATGGCGAAAGTTGTGTGAGATTAATCCAGTGCTGGTGTCAAAATGAGATGTGGAAAAATTGCAATGATATTTCAAATGATCACTAATGGGAATTTTGACAGAAGTTTGAAATTGTAACATTCCTGTGCTAAAATGGGAGCACAGTGCTTTTCAGTGAAATTGGCATTTTTGAAATGTTTTAAGACCAATTTTCAGTCAAAATACTCCTCGTGCAAATTTAGAGTTCTGCTAACTTGCATACGAACTATGGTAAACAGGGAGAAATAAAATCATTTATGCATTAGTTAAAGTAGATTTCTTTATTTTTTACAGTCTTGAATGTTACGGACATGCCATTTTTCTTTTGTTTTCCCCTCCATTTTTAAAGTTTCTTATAAGCCATTTGTAGCACACGGTGATATGATGTCTGATAAATTTACAGAAGAGTTGAGCGACGCTTTCAATGTGCCAAGTGTGTAGTCCCCTTGGCTAGTGAAGTCCAGTGGGTAGGGTGCAGAATCAGAAATAAATTTTAACCATTGGGAAGAGATAGAGTGAAGATATTTGCTGTTCTTTAAACAGACCTTTAAAGTAAAAAAAAACAAACAAAAAACCCACAACTATACACAAGATTGTTAATGCTGATAGCATGAGAAGTTGCATTGGGTTTTGCCTCCCTCCATCAAAAAAACCCAGCTAAATTCCAAAGTTGAGGGGGAGGGAAGGAGTTCACAAGGTTCATGAACTTTTCATGAACTTTTGTCCAGACTGTACTCCTAAACTTATGAACAAGATTAAAGGCACCATGAAGACGTCATTAATATTTTGTGTGTTACCATATACACAGATTACTTTTTCTGCTGCTCTGTTCACACTTATAAGAGAAATAAATCTCCCACAGGAATCAATATCATTTCTGTAAAGTATGCAATGAAGTATTTTGAATTCTGTCCTTCTGAAGCAAAGTCGAGATAAAAGAATTTTTTTTTATTTGGTCCCAATATATAATCGGACTTAAATCTGAATTTCTCCTTTTTTGGGAATATCATTCATTTCCAATGAGCACAGAATCATTTAGATTGGAAAAGACCTTTAAGATTAAGTCCAACCATTAACCCAGCACTGCCAGGTCCACCATTAAACCACGTCCCAGAGCACCACGTGTGCACATCTTTTAAATCCTTCCAGGGATGGTGACTCCACTTCCCTGGGCAGCCTGTTCCAGTGCTTGACAACCCTTTTGGTGAAGAAGCTTTTCCTACTGTCTGATCTACATCTGATCATTTCTCCATCCTTTGCTGGTTTTCACAGATAGAATAACTATATTTGGCTTAAAGGAAAACAAAACAACAACAAAAACACTAACAATTTTTACAGCTACAGAGCATCTTTATCCATAATTGTCTTAAAAGCATAGACCTCTTCTGCAGTTTGCTTCTCAGGACTTTGACATATAGCTCCCTGAGGAGCAATTCATCCTGTCTGTTTTAAGTTATTAGCTAAAGAGTGACTCAAACAGCTGAAACATCATTTTGGGGTCTAATTCTATTAAATTAAGAGAGGCAGGTTCTTCCTTTATGGCTATTCAGAAAACTTCAGCTACACACTGTGTGTCAACGGGGTCTTTGCCCCAGTTAAAGAATCAGCTTGTGATTCTTCTCTCCTGTCATTAGGGTCATTTTTGGTCTCATCACTTTTTAGTTCTATTATTGCAACACATTAAGACTTCTAATAATGTTGTTATGTCATGGCATCACAAGAAGAGTTAGTAAATGTTCCCCTCCCAAGCATTATCTCTAGTTTTGTGGGGTTTTTTTCTTTGCTTCTGTTCTGCATGATTCGTAACTTGCTGAGCTCTCTGCCTGGAACTGAAAGTGTGAAATTATCTATGGGAGATTTTGTGTATTTCATGTAGATGTCCAGTCTAATCAGCTCTTTGTCTGTCTTTGTGAATTGTTCTAAGCGTAAATCCCTTTGTTGTCTGTCTAACCACATAATTTACTGCAACTCCCGGTGCAGTTGCCTTGAGCGCAGGTAATTGTCTGGAGCTGGGAACATCATCAGCTCTCCGAGGAATACGCCTACTTCCACGGTGTCTACAAAGGTTATATTTATTAATACAAATATAGCGGAGCTTTTGATGGATTCACCTGCGTAACCTTTTCTGAATGCGAATGTGGGATTTGATAAATACAGCAATGTGGTTGTATTTTTTCAGGTGTGAAAAACTCACCTAAAGAATGAATAGAGTGTAAGAATCATTGCTTTACATACTGGAATGAATATTTAATATGTATCCAAATCTTGGGTTTCAGAACTGCCTGCACATCTGTCTTCACAATTATTATCTTATTCTACATTTAATTAAGTGACGACTAAAACCCTTTTTGACTGAGTTACTGCCGAATCACACCTTGGATTTTTATGTTTCATTGCTATAATTCTTTTTAATTGAATGTAAATCATGCTTAGGCCTGTATTTTGCAAAGTGCTTCTAAACAGTAATGCTTTACTGACTGAGACATAGGGTCTGCAGAGCTGGTAGAGAGGAAACAAATGTAATGGACTCAATAACATCCTTTAAAAATGAGCCCAGCATGGCCAGCAGCGACCACTGTAACCCAGTAGTCTTTGCCAAGCAACTGGCCCTTTTTAGAGCATTAATCACAGAGCAGGGCTGGAGTTGCCAGAGAAAACCAACTCCACAGCCCAACTCCTGGAGCATCTCCTGTGATAGAGCCCAGCATCAGCTGGTCCAGAGAAAGATCAAAGTATTCCCTTGGTGGAAAATCACGACATCATCTGCACGCTGGGGTGATTCCTTTCTGCACTTGAACGGTTGAGCATGCTGGGATGGGAAAAGACTGATATCTCTTATTTTATTGCTTTATCTAAAGTAACATCAAATGTCCTTAAAAACGTGAGTGTTTCTAACACTATTGTTTTTTATATACTGCCTTGGTGCTGTTCTTTTTGCCCTGAGTTCTGTGGGTTGCATAAAGAACATTGCTCTGAAATCTTTTAGTGTTTCCTCTCGGGTTTCTGGATTGCCCCCCTTCTTATTTGCAGGATTTCACTTGCCATTTTGCCATCCTTAATCTTTTATAACTTTATCATGACCTATTTGTTTCCATCCTGATCTTGACAGTTTGAGCTCTTGCCTCAGTTTCCATAGATCAGGTGAAGCCAGGGAGGCTGTTACCTCCAAGCGTGAAGATGGCTTTTTTCATGGAGATACATCCTGCCAAGATGTGTCCTGAGAGCCCCAAACCAAGCAACATTTGTGGTCTGTCTAAAAGCTCTTTAAGGATTGTGGCAACAGTGTTGAATTTAATGAACACAGAGTATGAATGAGCACTAACCTAAGGATCTAAACCTTACATCTTAAGCGCAAAAGAAAGGGCTTGCAGGAACAGGGATATTGCTGATATTATTTCATTTTTTATTCTTGTAAGTATTAAATTATCCATTTGCAGGAATCGGCAGATAAAATGAAGCGCTTACAAAGTCCTCTTTATCGTTACTGTCACTTTTTTTTCTTCCCTTCTTTCAGATGATCATTCAAGAGTGAGATTGCAACTCCTGGATGGGGACCCTCACTCGGACTACATAAACGCCAACTACATCGACGTAAGGCTCCTGGACGTTCCCAGTCTGACAAACACTCCTGCTGACATCTCTGCTTATGAATTTGGTGCATCTGACGTAGGGACGGGCTGTTGATGTGATACGAATGACAGCTGAGCATTATACAAACATTGTGTTGTGACAGGGAGAAGGTTCTCGGTCCCTGGTTTATTCTGTCTGACCAATCTGGACAGGTGGAGATCTCCTGTGTTTAACAGATCCACCAAAATAAGTGGAACGAGGGCTAAGTGACGTGTGCAGAAATTAGTAGCAGCCCATCACAATGGCAATAGTAGGTACCTGAGAGTTAGTGACTTCTTACAAAGTTACAGTGCAGAAGGAGTGTAAATAGATGGATATACTTTTTTTTTTTTTTAAGAAAATAACATTCGGAAAGGAGCCTCCCTTGCACACACAATGATCAAATGAATATGCTTTTCTTGTATGCAGCTCCTAATTCTTAGGAACATGACAGCATTCACCAGTTTCTTTCAGGGATAAAGCATACACCTAATGAAGTTATGTAAGACTGATATGCAGCACTTTCCTACACAGGCAAATGCACACCTTTCTTCTTTCAGACAAGAAGGTGCACAGCCTGTTAGTTTGCAGTGTTACCCACATATTAGTCACAGGATTACCCACGGGATTTGTGTTTCTTCAAGGAAATAATGAAAACTGCCCCTTTTCTCTTTGGCCCATTGAGATCTTATTCTTCAGCCAGAGTGAGACAACATCACTTAAAATATCAATAGGGCAACCCACTTGCCTCTCCTCACTCGTTTGATAACCAGTGTTAGTTCACTGTTAGGAGCGCAGCAATTGTTGATACTGATGTGACTTGTCCAGGCTGTGATCTCGCAGACTGTCACGTATTTTCTTTTTTTTCCAGGGGTACCACCGGCCTCGCCACTACATTGCAACTCAAGGCAAGTTCATTCTTGTATGTCTAAATATTTGTGAAACCACTGCTGTTGTAAACTGCTGTAAGAGCTATTTATAGGGTGATATCTTCTGGTCTGGGGAACATTTGAAAACTTAGTGTAGGGGCACAAAGGAGAAGGATATAGAATGTTCCAAGATCTTTAAGGCACTCAATCACAAAACCTCAGCTACAGTAATAAAAAATGCTACAGGCCTAGGGCTGGCAGAACAATCTATAATGTGTCCGTTGTGCATGAAGTATGAGATTAGAACTATAAGGGACTTTACAGAGCTTGGGTTTATGTTTTGAAGTGAAATTACTTGAGGAGAGCAGTATCAATAAGCCTGTGACAGATGAATTTTTGGTTAGTGGGAATTAGTTGAATACCACCTTCTTTAATTTAGTCAATGAGTTTCCTGTGCATAAAGAAAGAGGGGAAAAAAAGAAGAAAAAAACCAGCACAATTCCATAATTGGGGCTATCCATGTTAGATGACAAACCTCCTACCTGTTCTAGATAGTAGGGTGCTGTTTTCCTCCATTGCCCAACTCTTATGACATGACCGCTTTCTCTACCATTATTTATTCTCATTTTTGTACATTCCTTACCTGCAAAAGTAACATTCACGGGAATTACTCTGTTCTTAAATTCTGCTTTATGACTTCGTTGCTGGCTCGTCCCTTTTGAAAGAGTAAAATGAAATTGTTTTTTGAGGACGTACAAGCATTGGGAATGCAGCAAGGCAAAGAATGTGGAGGATGGAGTACGGACAGAGTGGGTGAAAGGACTCTGTGAGAGGACTTTGTCTAAAGTGTAGAAAAGAGGAAGGAAACAAGATCAGAGAGAGGCTGTGGTCTAAACAACCTCAGTGCTGGCTGTTGGAACCTGAAATTTTCAGAAAAGGCCCAATCTCTGCATATTTCCTTCTTCCTTCAGAATTAATACATATTAAAATGTGAAAGGGAGGAATTGTAGTGCCGTGTCAGGCACAAATTCCAATGCAGCCTTAATTACAGACTCACTGTAGGGTGCATCCACATCCCAGCACTTACCTGTGATTTACCTCCTGGAACTATCTCCACTATTTACAATACAGGCATCACCTCACTTTCCAGGATGCTGAAACCTTAAATACTCCCTGTGAGAATGGATGAGGTCTCTGATCTCTTGGAGAGGTCCAGGCTGTTCTGTGTCTGTAACCTGGAATCGCAGAGGGATGCTCTGAAAGGGAGAGAAGGATCCTGGAGGAACAGGGCAACGGCTGGGGAACAGCTAAGAAGAGTTGTTGGCACTAGATATGCTCTCCTAAGATGTCCTTTTGTCTTCTTTTCTGCCCCAGGGCCGATGCAAGAGACAGTGAAGGATTTCTGGAGAATGATTTGGCAAGAAAACTCCGCAAGTGTTGTCATGGTCACCAACTTGGTGGAAGTGGGCAGGGTAAGGGTGCTGGGTATACCATGGTGTGGCTGTTCAGGCAAGCTCAGCAAGTGAAATGCCTTTTGCTTACCATAGTAAGGGAATGAATTAAACCCCTCTTTATTCATTTATTTATTTTCTCTAAAATGCTAGATTTTGTAATACTTATCTACTTCCCTTCTAAACTAATAGGGATTGTATTCCCAGTGTAAGTCTCTGCTTTAGTAGAGTTACACAAATTTATGCCAGCTGAGAAGCTGTCTCCTCTTTCAGTACAGAAGCAGCAATGTACTTCTGTAATAATTACTCTGTATAATTCGAACACTTCTCTACCCACAAAAAGTCAGGAGAAGTCACGAGAATGTGCGACTGGCATTCACACTGTCAAAAGCGCTCTTTAAATGACAGTTCAAAGTCTAGAGTTTCCAATCCCTTCAGAAGATCTCTACTCCGTGGTGGTGTGGGATTGAGCACAGCTGCATCCTGGGGCCACCCAGCAGCACTGGCCTCCTCAACACCCTCTGCTTCACACGCTTGTGCTCAGACAAGAAGCTCCTTTGCCAGCACAAGGCAATTGCCAAATCCCACGATGGGAGGAAATGTGGGTAACTCAAAAGGTGTAGGCTAGACTGTAGGGAATAAGAAAAAGGCATGTCTGGGGTGCCTTTCCCCAGCGTACTCTTCCCACTTCTCATAGTCTTTGGATTAGAGACATTCTCTGCCAGCAGTTGGAGTCACCTTCCATTGCTTTGGTACTGAAAAAAAATTTAAATGATAGTTTACTCACAGCTATTAGTAATTCAGCTGCTTTGTGTTTGATTTCCTTTAGATCTCATGGTTGAATGCCAGCTGGTTCTGTTCATTTATTGTTATTTATTCTATTTTGCCTTCTACTGACACTTCAGTTTGAAATAAATGCCTCTGTGTAAAAAAAAAAACCTCAACAAACCTACATTAATCACTTAATATTTATAAAACTCATTCCGATTATGACTGGAACTGGAACATGAAACCTGCTTTGCAGTAGCTAATTGCTTCAGCTTTTAGGTGTTGTTCCACTCTCATGCCAAAGCATTTAATAACTCAGTCTTTGTTAGCCTAAAGATCCTTTCAGAGCTTCACAGCCTTGGCTTTAATTTCTGCTGTTAGTTTTGCACATGGCTTCTACAAGTGTCTGAGCTTGGGATATGTTTACGTAATCAGGAGATTTCTTTCATGAGCCTTAACTGAGATTTGTCACAGCTGTTGAAATGTCAAATTTGCATCCACATCTGATAAGGACAGCTTAGAGTCAAAGAAATTTGATGTATCAACAAGTATCTCGCAACCCTGTAAACTGGAATTCTTTGACTAAACAGAGGGAACTCAGAATTACAATAGCAATCGCAAAAGCATAGATTTTTCTTAGAAGGGATGGTGGTAGTGACTGCCAGGTATTCTGTAAACCTGACATATAGTCAGGGCATGTATGGGAATATAAGGAAGACTATCTTAGAAAGAGCTAAATGCAGCCTTTTCATTTAGATTCACAACGGAGGAAACTGAAAAAGTCCTCCCTGTGCTTTATATATATGGTAAAGGAATTTTAATCTAATTTATACAGTTAATTTTGACAAAGTCTGTACATCAGAAGAAAACCCGGTTTGTGTTGGCTTCAGCTTGAAAGAGGAGTAAAATGTAGGTCAGCTCTGACTCAACTTGAGGTAGTTCCTCTCAATATTTTCTTTTTTTCCCCCTCAGGTAAAGTGTGTTCGATACTGGCCGGATGACACAGAGGTCTATGGAGATATTAAAGTCACATTAATTGAGACAGAACCATTGGCAGAGTATGTCATACGTACATTTACTGTACAAAAGGTAAGGAAATCTTCAGAAATTTTGATATAATGCTGAATTTGTGTTCAAAAATGTGAACTCTGGGAAACGTATCCAGAAGGCTCTTGGAGACAGGAGCTGTTAGTATTTGGACAGGTTTCACTTCAGAAACCTAAATTTTAAATTTTTGACACAGATTCCAAATTTGGACAAATGATTTTACATGAACATCTTGATGTAGCCACAGAAGTAAAATCTACAGTGCTTGAAGTTTAAATGCATCCAAAAGCCAGCAGACAGCTGATGGTACGCCAGGAATAATAACTGCCATGTTTCACAGTGGCAAATTACAGATGAAAATAGGTATCAATTCAGCTGGGTGCCAGGTAGGATCCTCTTTCAACAGAAATAAAAACATAATAAAGGCAAGAGTATAGAAATTCTGCCCAAACTGGCAGGATTTGGAAGATTTTTTCTTACTTGAGTTAGAAATAGGAAGTATAATTGTCAGAGTATTCCAGGTCTGTCCAAATTACTCTCCGGTGGTTTTAAAGCTTCTCAAAAGATTCCTGCTAAATGGACTTCCGCACAATGGGAATGTTGTTCCAGTTTTCTAATACATCAGCTCCATATTTTGTTAAATCACTGAAAAACTTCGTAAGAAGTGCTGAAATCTGACAGGTGAGGGGACCTGCTGATGGATACCACCTGTATTTCCTGCACGGGGAAGTGCCATGGCCAATTGACGCTCCTGCATCACCCTTTACAGGGCATATACAGCGCGTGTCACTTTTCACTTAGCAGTAACTTGGTCTCTCCAGAAAAGCCAAGTGGTGAGACTTCGTACCAGTTCCTGCCCTGTTCACCACCAGCTGTAATCTCAAACTGAGATTTTTTTGGCAGGAGATGGCAAAAAATCTACCAGTGCCTGGGGCACGCTGACTCTCTAGGTGTGCACTCCCCAAGACTGTGGCTTCAGCACGTCAGAAAGGATTTGAGTAACGTCTTGATTTATGGCAGTAATGCCAAAGGAGGCTGGCTAAGTGCAGCCATGGTGTGCTGGGGCTGGAATCCCTCTGTGAAGTTCTTGCTCAACTGGGTTTTTGAACTCTTAAGACCACAGGTTTGAACTGGAAGCTGGCACTTGCCTTCCTAGTCCTCACTTGTGTGTTACCCACTTCGTTTGCACTTGGAGTTCAGCTTAAAATCTCTCGAAGTGAAAAGCCATGCGGGACACATTCCTGCACGTGATGAGAGTGGGAATGAGGAAGAGGTACCTCCTGGAACAGATTGCCTAGAGGATTTTGGATGCCCCCTCCCTGACAGTGTTCAAGGCCAGGTCAGACAGGGCTTTGAGCAGCCTGGTCTAGTGGGAGGTACCCATGGCAGGGGGCTTGGAACAAGAGGATCTCTAAGGTCCCTTCCAACCCAAACCATTCTGTGAAACGCTTGTTCAACCCTCTGCATGAGGGAAAGGAGCAGCGATCAGAATATGCAGATTACAGCCTGATGGAAGAAAAATAGTGGCTATGTTGTCTCCTCAGAAAGGCTACCATGAGATCCGAGAGATTCGGCAGTTCCACTTCACCAGCTGGCCGGACCACGGGGTCCCTTGCTACGCCACGGGCCTCCTGGGCTTCGTTCGTCAAGTGAAGTTTCTCAATCCCCCAGAAGCAGGACCCATTGTTGTGCACTGCAGGTACGTGAGCTCTCTGTCTCAGCCTTCCCTCTGTCAGCTCTTTCAGTTTTGATTATTTTTTTTCCTTTTTTCTTCTCATCTGGCAATAAGTGACTACGTCCTTTGTGTGTTTAAGAGTATAATTTGCGGGCCTCACCAGGAAACAAAGTGGAATTTGGTTTTGTTTTCTGAAGTGGCAGCTCTGGAGCTTAGCTGGCACAACTTGGAGATGATATAAGTGGGTCAGAGAGGGCCATTCAAATGCAGAAGACTCTCTGGTGGCCTGTATTTTCTTAGATGCTCAGAGCAGAGCTGGGAAAATGGGAAATTTCTGGGACAGCCGCTCCAGTCGTTATCTACAATAAACCTTGTGTAGCAAAAGGGACAATGCTTACAGAAAGACAGAATTTTAAAGCAACTTGGCTTTTCTGTACCCACATGCACTGCAGTTCAGCTTTGTACCAGCACCAGTCCGAAACATTAGTCTGTCTTCCTGGGTCTGCCTGCCAACCACTGGGCATCTCGGCCTCCTCAATACCCAGAAGCTGCAATGGGAATGTCAGACTGAAAACCTGCCCAGTGCCTTGCAGCTCCTAAATAAAAGAGGAATGCCTGAAGAAACCTTACTGTGAAAATTCAAACTATTCAATCACGTCCTTGCTAACTCCCTGGCTGCTGCTGTTACTGGTGAGGAGTCTTCTGCACCATTTACTTCCAGCTGAGCTTAAAGCCTTGCTGTGCAATGCACTGTATGGATATACAGGAGTGTCCCTGATGTGAAGGACTGGCAGTTGGAGGTGAGATCAGGCACGTTGCTGGTGGTGGGAGAGCAGACACACACACACAGACTGGCATCAGGGTTAGACAACTTTAGATGCAAGGAAAGACGTTGCTACCAAAACGGAGTTTGCGTTTGCAGCAGCTACTCCTGCAGTGCTCAGGCCACAGCTCAGGGCACGCCTTCTGTAAAGGAGATGTGGCTGGAGCACAGAGCTAGAGAGCAGAACACCCCAAATCAATCCACTGGCAATGCTTCTAAGTGCCACGCTCTGTGATCTGGAAGAGAGAATATATCCCACAACCACTTTAAAAAGGAAAAGTGATTAAATTGTACCTTTTTTAACAGTTTTGAGTTGGGGAGGGTGTTTTGTTGTTGGTTTGTGGGGGTTTTTTATTAGCAAGGAATGAATTAGTTTTATAATAAATACAGCCAAGCCTGAGGAGCTGGCAGAAGGGAATTCATTCAGAGCTCGGGGCCTGAATTTGCTACTTTGGTGCCATGACACAAGTCTGGCCCTGGAAGGAGTGTGAACCTGATTCATTGTCACCAAGAAAGCAAGGAGAAATTTTTCATCATTCACATGGTAATGAATAAATGCCATTTCCTCTCTGTTATTTATCTGCTTTTGAATTTTAATGACTTGCTTTAAGTGGTAATTACCAAATTCTCCCTGGCGATGCCTGGCTGGATAATATCACTGTTCGATATTTATGAAGTGCCAGGATCCTCTAAATATAGAAATGTTATAACTATTTGTTAAAATTCTGAAAAGCTGAGAGATAGAGAGAGAGGAAATGCCACTTATTCATTAAAATTCTGCAAATGAAAAATATCTTCTCTCTATTCAGCAGTTGATTAATCTGGTCCATTAATTTATGGTCATTCATATCTCCTTGCTTTCGGCTCTGCTGGAGTTTTCATGCGGCTGAAGTTTCCCTGATTTGAGCTAAGTTTTCCTTCTTTCTTCAGAGTAATGTGAAGAGACGGTCTCCTCTCTCTATCCTTCACACCTAAGTAGCTCAGATGATTTCCCAGGAGGGAAGGAGGACACGATGACAACACAGTTTTGCAGGAGATGGTCCAGTTCTCACAAGCAGTGGGGGGCTCTAAACTGAAGGTTTTGCATAGCCTCGAGCTCCTTTCTCTATAATTTCACAATCCACAACTTGAAATCGCCCTCCTCTGAACTCAGACTCCTCCGGAATAAAAAGGGAAAAGAAATGTTTGAAGTGGAGGACTGAGCCCCTTTTGTCACACCCACTTGTGTAGATGTGTACGTGCCTTTAAAAGAGTCCCATGGAAGAAAATTTCTGGAATTCTGTCTATTTACTACCTGGACGCTGCTCTCCCATGTCCTGTACAATGAAACATGTGCAGGTGAACCGACCCATAAAATCATGATTATTTTCCTAGAATAATTTTTTTTGTTGATGTTCAAGAACACAAAGCTTTTTTTCCTGCTACCTGGGCCTATTTACCTTTCAAGAAATATTTTTTTACATTATTCTCTTAAATCCTAAGCTAATTTACCTACATGCAAAAATGAACTCATTAGGGAGAGGCGAACAGCTTCTATGAGAAGACCACTCTGTCTGAGATACAGTTATTTTCTCCTCTGTAAAGCTCTGCCCCTTCACAGTCCATTGATCATGCAGAACCTCATTGTAGTTTATTTTATTTTTTTTAGTGCTGGGGCCGGGAGAACAGGGTGCTTTATTGCCATCGACATCATGCTTGACATGGCAGAGAACGAAGGTGTGGTAGATATATTTAACTGCGTGCGAGAGCTGCGATCCCAAAGGGTCAATCTGGTGCAGACAGAGGTAGGTGCCAGCAGGTCGATGTGCTTTTCTGTCAGCTTCTCCGCTCGCCAGGGGCCCAGCAATTCATTAAGTCAACACTGGCTTGCTCTGTGATGTGATTATACAGAACTTTCAGTGGCTAAACATGACCAGATGCGCACCGAATCACATTGACTGTCAGCTGCTCGGGGCCTCCAAGACAGGAGGGCAAACCTTGAAGTTCAGGTCTTCGCATTGCTGATTAATTTTATTCTCATAGTAGAAAAATGTGCTGGCTCCTGAGTCGTCTCATGACTCATTCATAGGTGTACTGCAGACTCCAGTAGTGCCTAGTTTATATCAATTGCGAGCTAAGCAAATGAAACATCCTTGATTCAAGCTTTGGGTGCTGATGAAGCAAGCTGCGCCATCACGTAGCGTCTAACAGTGCACAAACTTTTATGGAACCGTTCTCCTGCTGCACGAATTTTATGTACGTGCTTCAAATCCTTCCCCTCCCGAGGGAAAGGACAGTAGCCTGGAACTCAGAAGGGCTTTTAACTTCGCTGGATTTCTTATAATTAGTTCAGGGAAAGAACTTTACCCAGAATACCAAGAGTCCAGGGGTTTTGAAGGGACAGATGGAGTGGACTTGTTTAGTCCCGTTGTTTCTCTGGTGCTATCATAGGTCCAAAGCACAATCCATTCCTGACTATTGCCCTGTGATGGTGAACAGATAAGATTTACACTCCAATTTCCTCCTCAGCCCACCCCTATTTTGTCCCAGTGTTCCTGAGAGTGGTGACTTCCCATTTTACTTGTAAATTTGAAATGAGTACTTGATACCTCACACTCAATGATGGATGAAATATGCTCACAAAGCTGTCACATAGCACACTGTGTAATTTGTCTCCACGTGAAACAGAGCCAAATATGCATATTGAGCATGAGTTAAGAAAAAAAAAAAACAAACCACCTTGTGATATTTTGTGATTTGTATTGAAAAAATATAACTTTAACATCTTATGCCCTTCCCTGTGCAGGAACAGTATGTATTTGTCCATGATGCCATTTTGGAGGCATGTCTCTGTGGCAACACAGCCATTCCAGTTTGTGAGTTCAGATCCATATATTACAACATCAGCAGACTAGATCCACAGACCAATTCCAGCCAAATAAAGGATGAGTTTCAGGTAATTTCATATCTCTCGGTCATTGCAGTTGGTGTATTGGATGTGTTTAATCAATTTCTTTATGTTATTTTACGATTTCCAGCACAGCAGAGAAGGGATGCACTGAGCCGAGGTCTGATTTCAGCTGATTTTTGTTGTTTTACTACTGGATCAGGCAGAG